CCAACGACCGGCAACCGATTGCTTCACCCGGGAAGAGCGCAATGATCATACCAACATGGGCCAGTTGAAGCAACGTCCTCCACAACTAGACTGAAGAACAAAACAGCAATTTGTCTACCTGTCTGTTCCCCTTCCCTGATTCCCCAACGCTGTTCCCTTCCCCCCAATTCCCCAATAAAATCTTTAAAAAAACACACACACACAAAACAGTGTTAAGTGGGAGGAGAGGGGGAAAGAATGAGATTTATAGCATAATCACTTTTATGCAAATTCAGACATATACTCACAAAACAATATTTTGCAAAGATATATACACATTCCGTTTATATATCAAACATATTAGAGTGGGTGCCTCATGACAAAAGGGGATGAGAGTGGAGATTAGGCAGGAAGGGGGAACTATTATAGAACTAGAAGCTGAGAGGCATCATAGCATATAACCATAGTTAGGAGCAGGAACCCCAGGGCCTGTGTCTAAATCCCTGGCTCTGTCCCTTACTAGCTGCTACCTTGGGCAAGTAACTTAACCTCTCTTGTTAAGCTTCCTCATCCATAAAAAGGGTCTGGTAGCTAATCTCCAAAGACGTCCCCAAACAATTCTGCCTCTCCCTCTGTGTGCAAGCGGCTCTTCCCATCAAGAGGCGGGGCCTCTGACTACTTGGACCAATCGAATTTGAGGAAGTCTCGCCGGGCCTTCCAAACCTAGGCATTCAGCGGGACAGGAGCTTCTGCCCCTCTTGGAACCCTGAGCTGTCATGGAAAGAAAGGGGCCTTGAAGCTGAGAGGCCTTCGGAGAGGGCACAGGAGGAGCACACGAGCCATCTGACTGTCTGAGATATCCAGGTGCTACCCGAAGAGGACCGCCCATGGACCGCGCAGCTGAGCCCTTGCCAACCCATGGAACAGTGAGATGCAGTAAATGGTTGTTTTAGACTACCAAACTTTGGGGTGGCTTGTTAGGCAGCAATGGATGAAGTTGTTGTGAGGATTAAAAGAGGTAATTTTCAAAGTGCTGACCAGTGCATGGCTCATGGGAAGTGTCTGGCACTATGTGGGTATTTGTGGAATGAAGTAGAACCAGGGACCTATATAGTCTGATGATGATAGAAATGGTGTCATGGGCTAAAATGTATGATTAACCCAGTTCTTTGTATCTGACGTCCACAGATAAAAATAAAACCTCTAATAGAGTCCATATATTCATTTCCTTGACAGAGTAACTATAACCCCAATAGGTGAAAAGTGTATTCAGAAACCAGAGTTTCTCAAAACTCAGCAGGCCAACCCGAACCAATCTTTTTCTGTTGTTTTTGTGCCCGGTATTCAGAAGCGGTATGAGCTCTGTGACTCATGAGTCCCTCATTTTTGGGAGCACAGACAACTGATGGACTATATTTTTCTCTGTAGCTCTAGATCCATATCTAGCAAATTTTAAATACCTGTGATGACTTCTCAATTAGCCATAAGCTCCAGTATCAGGAAATGCAAGGATAATTGAGATCTACACATAATTCAGAGATCTCAATCAACCTGTCATGTCAATCTCTAGAAGGGTCTCTTATGGCTCTATTTACTCCCAAGCACAGTGTGCTCAATAAATACCACTTGATTATTTAAAATCAATCCCTCTTCTTTTTGAAAAGGATATAAATCTATTTGGTTTTGGTCCTTCACGTCATTTATCAAAGTTGTTTGTCAAAACCTAAACTAAGGCAAAATAACCCAGACATTAGCAACAGTGAGTGGAAGGCAGGGGCACCATTCATTCATTCATAAACCACTGGGAGCTTACAAACCTGTACATAGGCAGAAATCTGAGGCTTAGATGGGGAGGGGTGTCACTTGTGCGCAATCAGCAGCAGGGACCCTGCAGAGCCACACTGAAACCCAGGTAGTCTGCGCCATGGCTGGGTCTTTCCTGCTCTGTCGCACTGGGAAGCAGAGCCACGGTCACCCCAGAAGGGAAAGGCGGTATGTCCCAAAGCTAACTCCTAGACGCAGAGACTTTCATAAAGCCAAAAAGGGTGGATTCGAGATCATACCAGCCCATGCATTTCTGCAGAAGCCACCCATTTTGGAGCGGGTCTGAGGTTGCCGAGCCGTCACCTGGGAGTGCTGACTTCTCAGACTCCAACCTCGCAGCACCCGCCCCGCGCTGCCGGCAGCCTGCTTAGCCCCTCCGCGTGCTTGGCTGGGAGGGATGGCCTCCAGCCAGGTCCATCCTGGTTCCAACCTCTCAGCTGGAAATAATCCTGAACCCCGTCCTCACTTGCCGGCCCATCTCCCATCCCACGCAAGGCTGCAGAGTCACAACCTGCTTGTTTTCATCCAGCACTAAGGCTCCAAGCTGTGCAGCTCATCTTCAGGTAGCTTCTGGGAGCATCCGGGTTAAAGCGCAAAGGAAGCACGTGCCGATTTTCCTTCCTGGGTGTCTTTCCTCCTCAGTTTCTTTCAGCCGTGGGACACTCCATGGTAAGGGCAGGCTGAAGAGAAAGTTTCTGTGGGTGCCATGGTGCTCCGTAGGCTGTGTGCAGTGTTGGGAAAGGCCCAGCAGACCCAAGCCCGACGGAGGCCGGTGCCAAGAGGGGAATGAAGAGGCCTGGGGATGGAATGCAACCTTCAGCTGGCTGAGGTGCGGGGAGCTGGGCAGCTGTTTCCCTTCCATTTTCTCCTTGGGCTCTTCCATGCCCCCAGATGAGTTACTTTCACTGAAAATGAAGTGACTGTGGCTGTAGCCCAGCTGAAAGTGACAATCCAGGGCTCTCAGGGCATGGGGAAGGGAGACCAGGCCACGAAAGACACAAAAAAGTAACTTCCAAGTCACGCCATTTATTTTTCCTTAATTGGGTTTTACATCTCATCTGAGCTTCTGCTCAGTTCTCTGAGGAGCTGTGGAATTAGTGGGCACGCTTGTGCTTTCTGTCCCCCAGACGAGAACACGCAGGAACACACGCGCGCACGCACACGGGCAGCAAGAGCACACTGGGCTTGTTTCAGTTGCTAGTTCCCCCCTCTGGCGTCACCGTGACACACATTTGTCTCTACCTAATATTCTCAAGAAAAATGGTTGGTTAGGTTGGGAAACGGCACAAGCTCAGCTGGTGGGAGGGAAGCAGCGAACCACCAAGACCTTTTACCTGCCCCCCCTTGTTCCTTTCCCTGCTTCGCTCTTGATCTTTCAAAAAGAAAGAAGTGGAGTGCAGGGCTGCTGGTCACCCATGGAGCAACTCTGCGCCAGTTAGCAAAGGGCACCCCTTCTTCCAGGCAGATGTGGCATGGCTGGGTGACAGAGGAGAGCCTGGACCATGGCCCGCACCTGCCCCCTGCCCTCTGGCTGGTACCTTGTGCATATGCTGTAGTTCCCTAGGCTCGCCCACCTTGAACCACCTCAGGGTTAAAGGGCTGAGAGGGGATTAAATGTCCTCTGAATCCCAGATGGGCCCAGGCTCTGCTGACCTGTCTCTCACAAGGAACTCCCAAGCTGGTGGCCAGGGAGCCACTGATGCTACTCTTGGCCACCAGGAGTGTCCTACCCACCACCCCACATGACACCCACTCCTCATATTTGAACTGTTTGATTTCCCAGGGTGGGGATGCAAATATTGGGGGAAAGAGGTATGGCACCGGCACAGTACCAACATGCCAACCTTCCCAGTCCAGAAGCCCCAGCGCCACCGGAGACGTGCCTGCCTTTCATATTTTGCATCCTTTTGTCTCATCCTTTGAAACAAGACAGCAGGAATTCTCTGCAACGGACCTCAACAAGAAATGATGCCTGAATCTGTTGCTTCCTCAGTTCAAGGAAGTGGGGAGGAGAAAGGGTATGGTCCTCTTAGGAGGGTTTGTGTCATTTAGTTGAGAGGTGTCACTGGTTAACCTGACAGCCCAGGGACCAAGGCTGGGTAGACCTCATTTATCAACTATATTACAGGGCTGCAATTCACCAGCTACCAAGTTGGACTCTTGGCGCTGGAAATTTAATGTGTGACAGCTGCGTTCAGCCAGTGGCGTCCAGCAATTTAAAAAGGTCAATTAAGAAACGGTTGATAGTGGTGCAGTAATAACAGCCCAGAGGGGTGAGCAGGGCTGAGTAAACAGAAGGGCTGAGACGTATATTACTGGAATTGAAGTGTCGAGGGGGAGCGTGTGGGGAGGAAATCTATTGTCACAAGCCATAAAGCACCTCCGAGTTTTGCAGCGGAGAGCAGTGCAGCTGTTTCCCTCCGCAGGCGCAGGCGGCGCGGGGCGCAGTCTGTGAGCACAGGGCTCTGCAGACAAAGGCGACACCTGCACCGGCTTGATCAATCTGCAGACAAAAATCGTTACCCTCCTCACTGCCCGCTCCTTTCGCACTTGCTGCTCTCCCACTTGGGGAGCATAAGGCAGACGCTGGAGGTATAGTCAGAATGTGGGCCATGTTCTAGAAATCCATGTTTTACGCATTCCCCAAAGCTGTGCTGCGCCTTCTCCTGCTGGCCGTGGGTGGGTGGGCGGGCGGGCGGACAGCGGTTGCTGGAGCCCCAACCCCGGCAAGTGCTGTCCTCAGACGACACACCTGCTCCGGGCTTCAGTGGACACACAAACGCAGGATGCAGTTTATACCCTTTACACTGCGATAGATGAAAGAGGGACGGGGAGCCCTTAGAAAAAGTCGATTTCAGCCCGTGACAGAACCGGCTCCTGGTGGGGGAAAGGCACTGTGTTTTGAAACTCAGACAAAGGGGTCCTAGGGCGCTAGGACAGGCTTTTTTTTGCCACATTTACCTGTCACACTAGAAATTCAATAGGGCGATGGGAATGCTAATTGATATGCAAAACAGGTCCAGGGTTCCTAGAAATGTCTAACGATCCTCCAAGTCACTGCGAATGCAGAATGAAGACATGCTCTAAATGAGATGGAGCAACGACACCAACCTTTTCCCTTGTTTTCTTTTTAAAACCTACTTTGGGAAACTTCACAGGTTTATGATTTAAAAAAAAGAGTATTGCAATCAGTGGGGTTTGTCTTTCACACACTGGATATTTATTATTAGAAAATAGCTTCTATCAGCTGTCAGTACCAAACAAGTTGAAAGGAGCGTGCTTCTCACCATATATTTTTTTTCTCCTTAATGAAATTTAAATAAACAGCTCACTGTGGGGAGAGTTGCCATACCTTTTTTTTCCCCTTTAAAATCTGAATCATTAAATGACATTTAGTACAAAACATCCTTCAAATATGACTTGTCCTGCAGCTGTTATGCTGTCCCTGGAGTAAGGGACATGAAAGAGATGAAAAAGACCACTCAAGCTATCAAATGACCCCAAAGAATCTACAGTAGAAACCAGAAACAAATAAAATAACCCAAACAAAATCCATCCAAACCAAGAAACCAGTTTTAACATTGGCTTTTCGATTTTGATTATTATCTAAGTTTTATATATATATATATATATATATATATATATATATTTGACACAGTAATAAAAAAGGAAGAATTGAATTGCATCGTTGGCAGGACAACCTTCCTCATATGTTAAAGAGGTGTTCAGAAAATTCCATAGAGTATCTGCTAAATGAACATGTTTGGCAGCTTAGCAAATATCATATGATTGCAGCATCCATGATTTGAAGTTCAATAGCTTTTGCTTTCTCCTGGCAGAGTTCATTGCTCAGGGTGATGAGCTGACGCGGCTCTGGATAGTTTCAGACCCACGGGCTTAAGGAAAGGTTTGGGGGTGGCTCAGTGCATGGCCCCAGTGCAGAAACTTCCAAACCTAAACAACGAATCAACCAACCAACCAACCAACCAACCACACAGATGTCAAACAATGGTCTCCTTTGAGTTCCTCTTGACAGAATGGAGGCCCAGCAAGGACTGCTGGTTAGAAGGTATGTTGACAGACTTTGGAATGAGGAGAATCACCCTTTGATTGGTCCGACGCCATTCGTTGTACAATCGACAGTGGTACCTAAATGACACCTGGGGTTAGGAGAGGAAAAATAAGGTTTCAGGTAAGCGGAAGCCAATAATCAATCCAAGAAACAAACATGTCATTTCAAACAGCTCCAGACAGCTGGGAGCCACAGAGCGGGGCTGGGACCCTGGCTAAGGCTGCACAGCAAGCAGCTGAGTGCCGGGAGTCGGGGCACCAGGCAAGGAGCACCCGTGTGTGGACACATGGGCAGGGCTCCCAGAGAGCTTCCTTCCATCCTCCTCATAGCGGGTAAAATGCGGGTATCAGAGGAAATGAAGTTCCTCCTGAGTTAGGGTTTATTTTGGGGATAGTGGTGTTTAGGCCCCAAACCATCAGTGACGAAGGTTGGCTGGAGGCAGCGGGTGGAGCGGGTACAGCACCAGCCCTGGCCCAGCTGTGGGACTGGGCCATGTGCCTTTCCAGTTCCTCTCTGTTGAATGAGAGGGATGCGAGGGCTCCCTGTACCCTTCTGCAGGTTGGACACTGCAAGGACCTCTTTCGCGTTGACTACGATAGGAAGGCACCCTTCGTACTGAGCTGTGGACAACCTGCTCGACTGTGCTGGCTGTCCCTGACGGACGATCCCCAATTGCCTCCAGCTCTAGCATGCTGGGGCTCCCGGGGGGAAGCTCTGGCATGGGCACCGACTCCCTGTGCCCAGTCTTCCCTGAGCCACAGTGCCTCGTGCCCACGTCAGCATGGCACCAAGTGCCCTGTACATCAGTGTGCTTGTTTCTCTGTCTCCTGGCACTGAAGTTTCCTGAGAGCAGGGCTTGTGCTGTAGTCACCTTTGCATACCCTGCACCTATCACAGGGTCTGGAACTGGGAAGTCGCTCAGTAGTTTGTTGAGTGAAGGGATGAGTGAAAAACTAGACTGTGCTTTCCATTTGTAACACTGCCTCAGACTTAAGCCTCTCTTGTAAGATACATGACAATATGAGTGGCAAACTCATGGTTGTGACACAACTGTGCCCTCAAAGTGCTTGCTTCTTATGTAAATATACTGGACTGTGTGGTTTGTTTTGGAGAAGGCTGGCATAAAGCATTGAAGGGCTGCTCAGGAAATTCAGAGTTTCATCTGTGCTTCTGAAGATGTGCAAACTGCCTTGGAAAATGAGGGTGGGATCCAATTTGAGTGCATCCAGATGACCAGGTAAGTGCTTGGAAGGAAGATGTCAAATTATCCATGGACTTCGTGTGACAAATTATCCGGATATGGGCTGTTTAGCCCCCTGGGGCGGGTGCCTTGTGTCGACCCCAGTACAGGTCCATGGTGGTCAGAGAGTGGGCTGACCCGATGGTTTGAGCTCAGCGTTTCTAGAAGTAGGGGAGTCAGGCCCTTGATCAGCAAGGGCTTGTTAGTCTTCATGGCAGGATCATGAAATTCAAGGCCACTCACTCAAATTTCTGAAGCTAGAAAGCAAATGCCACAGGCTGAGTGCCAGAGAGATTTGGGTATGAAAATATAAGCTTTCAAACTCACACAGATGTGCTTTTCTCCAAAAGGCCCTGAACATGCCGAAGTGAATCAGGGTTTTTTCTTTCTGTCTTTTAAGCTTGATTCTCTTCTGTCTATTCTGTCCTGCTGCTGCTTGGTGCTAGTCATGAAAGTGAGAGGGGCAGGTTGGAAGGCCTGCTGTTCGGGCTGAAGGTAGGGAGGAGGTAGAGCACAGACAAGTACTAATGAAGGGCTTTGGCAGCACGAGAAGCCTGGAATCTGGAAACAGTACAGGAGAGCTGGATTTCAAATCAGGAGTCCCTTCTTCCATGCTGTTAACAAGCCGCTCTGCTAGGCACTAGTAAGCAGAGAGGTGGCTGTGGGTGCAGGCGGGTGGCCCCTTCTACAGCGCAGGGAGTGGGCCTCGGGCTCTGGGCCAGCCCCATGGAGCCTGACTCCCCACCCTCCGCTTAGGGGCTCTGTGACTTTGGGAGGGTTGTTTGCGGCCTCCAAGTTTTAGTTCACTAGCTTGTAAAATGTGAATAATGATATCTGAGATAATGCATAACAAGCCCTTAGTACAGTGCCTCACATACACGTTAGTGTTCTTGGCCCGTGTTAAATATGGGAAAGATGACAGTTCTGTGATATTCCTTCTTCAATACAGGAAACTGGTGGGGAGTAGGGGTGGGGCGGGGAGAAGTTTGGCTTTTTTCTTTAAAGCCTTGCTCAGAATTCTGGGCTCAGCCCAGACCTAAGGAATCAGAGTGTGCATTTTAACAAGATCCCCAGGTGATGGCACGTACATTCCAGCCTGAGAAGCACTGCTTCAAGGAACCCAGGGAGTCAGCGACTTAGTAGGTCTCCTGGTTTCTTGACAGGAAATACAAAAATCAGCCCACTTGTTCCGACAAACAAATGCGATCTTATTATGCATTAATCTGTCTTAACTGCTGTTAACGACCACAGTTCACAGATCCAATCAATGAGAAAAAAGCATCATATGACGAGGACTCTGTATCAGAGAAAACAGAGGAAGTTGGGCCCAGAGCAGAAGGCATCACGTGTGCGATTGCCCTGGGTTAATGCTGGCTCCCATCTCTAGGAGCTCCAAGACACCCCTCCCCGCAATGGAATAGAACAGGGAAGAAAGGTTTGATTTAGAGGAATAAAGAGGCAGTGAGGGAAAAATGAGCATAAACCAAAAAGAAGCTACAGTGTGGTAACGCTGGGGACTTTGTTGAGGTATTTCTGAAATTCCGGAGGTTTTAAGGAGCGAGGAGCCACAGCAGCGGCTCGGGGCCACTATTGAAATGAAACTACCCCTCATGGGATGGGTTTCTTTAAGCACATTCATCTCTTCATCCAGAGGCTTTTCACCTCCTATAACGGCCAAGGTGTGCGTACAAAGAGTTGTGGTCACGCGCGTGGAACAAGGGGAGGCAGGGAGGTGACCAGCTGTGGCCCAAGGTTTGGTGTAGCGTCGCCGCAGGCTTTGGGAAATCTTCTCGTTACATATTTTTATTCTGCCATTTCTCTCGGGAGGTTATGGTGCCACCGAGTGAAGCATATTGATGGGGCCAGGGCTTTTTAAGTTCCCTTCCCAGCAAGGGGCCCAGCTCTCTGATCTCCAGGTGCGAGGAGAGAGCCGCTGTGCAGGCAGGAATACATCAGCCGCGGGCGGAGAAACGCCAAGCCAGTGTCACAGCGAACTGCCTCAGGCTGCCGCGGACTGTTCCCCAGCGAACCTTGTGGGGACAGTGTTCGATTGGAGGTTTTCCCCTTTGCAACGAGAATTGACATCATTAACCCATGGGACTGAGGGTCAGCGGGAGGATTCCGATAGTTCATGTCATTCTGTGACTGGACCGACGTTTCTGTTCTGGGCACTGGTTGCACCAGTCCCCAACGGCACGGAAGGGCTGCCGCGGCCACTGCGCTGTGCTGCCTCCATTCCTGCACCTCCAAACTGGGCTAATATGAACTCCCCTTGGACAATTTCTTACCACTTAATGTGGCTTCAGTTCTCACCTATCTTTCTTGGTGTCTCCGTGGACTTCAAACGGTTTGTGCCATAAACAGTGACGTTCCTGGGGGCGCCCCTCTCCTGAGCTCTGAGCGTGGAGATGGCGGAGCCGAGGCCTCCTGGGTCCCAGATGCTTGTGTTTCCACACGGCCGGTTCCTCAGGCAGAGCTCCCTGAGTTTGTGTCAAGCCCGGGGCCCTCGTGGCCCAGGGAGCGGGCAAGGAACTCAAAGGCAGTGCTAGGCTAGGCGCGCAGGTGCGCAGGCCCCTCTTCGTGGCGCCCAGCAAGGCCCTTGCAGGAAGGCTCCTTCCTCTGAGGAGCGGGGCTGGGACTGACACTGTGTTTGTTTATCTAAGACATTTCCACAGCATATTCTCCTTAAGCTTGACAGCTTGTTTACAGTGGGTTTCTGCTGGAGGGCAGTTTCCAAGTGCTGTCAGCTTCTGAATTACGGCTCTTGCCAGGGCAGCTCAGTGCAGCATTTATCTGGGAAAGACTTAGTCTAGATTCAGTAACCTATTGCTGAGCTGACGGCGGCCGCAGCATGTTTTTCATACCAGTCAAAGGGCAGAAATGCCTGTCTTCCTCTCCAGATGCTTTGCATTTTATTGAGGGCTGGGGGTGCTGAGGGAGTTGGGGGGCAGGGAAGCCACAGGAACAAAATCAAGGTGCCTATTGCCAGGTGCTCTGATGATATATGTCCCCTTGTTATCCTACCTAATCCTCATAATAGCCCATTGACCCAGGGGTCTTCAAGCATTTCCTCCATTTTTTTTTTTTTTTTTTGCATAAGGGGAAGGATGATCAGAGAGGTTAAGTACCCTGTTTAAAGCTACACAGCTATTGGGATGCTAAATCTTGGATTTAAACACAAGGCCTTTGATTCTAAATGCATGCACTTTTTACCGTGCAGTCCTGCCTCTTGGAAACTTTCTATTGTAGAATGAAGTATATTATCACTCTCCTGAAAGAGACCACTCCAGGAACCCTTCCTACCCAAACCTTCCTTTCACCTAGAATGGGAGATACAACAGGGTCACATCACTTTTCTCTAGGTAAATTTTTTTCTTTCTTTTCTTCCTTTCTTCCTTCTGCCCCTCCCTTTTTTCTTCCTTGTTAGGTAAGTGCATGCTTTATAAAGTGGGTTTTGAAGAAGGCCTTCAGTTGGTTTGAAAGCCCAGCATTCAGATCTATACTTTCACCTTAGGAACTCTTCTAAGAAAACCACAGACAAGTAAACCTCTAAACATGGGAAAAAATTATTTTCCAGAGTAGTTTCTCCTGCAGTCTTTCATTTAAATCTGATAACACCAGGGGAAGTTGGCAGGATGGGTATTACTACCATTCCCACTTTATAGATGGTAACATTGAGGCTCAGGGTGGTGAAATGACGTTAGATGGTGTTAGCTAGACTATTTAGCTTCTTATTTCGAACTCTCTTCCCATCACAATGACCTTGTGACTTCTGAGTCAGTTTCATTGCTTGATTCGCAATGAATCAGGATACATTTTGGAAGCACAGACTTTTAAAGGAGGCAATAATAGTTTTTTTGCTTTGGGGCTTCATCAGATTGGGAGCAGAATGCCTACATTAACCAGGGGACTCAGAAAAAGTCAGAATCATCAGATCACTCCCTATTTACCAAGGCTCGTCGGGCCCCTCTTACTGAGGCTGAAACGTCTCCCTCACTGGCCATCTGAGCGCTCCACCGTCTGAGCGCTGTCACCTGGGGCGCGGGGTGGGGGGGTGTACAAGAGCGGAATGAGCAGGGGTCGTGGTCAGTGTGGTAGGAACGGCTGCTGGTGGGACGGGCTTGGGAAGAACTGTGAGCAATGGAAGCTTCCACATGCTGACGCTGGGCTATGGGATCTGGGAACGGTACACTTTAGACAGGAAATACATATTGAATAACAATGGAACGTGCTCAGATTAGAAACCAGCAGGCACAGAAGAGGAATGCCAGGAAGCAGGGGCCCGGTTTCTGAAAATATTCTAGATAGTGATGTCCTTCCCTGCACGTCCCAGGGGGAAAGCACAGAGAGCAAATGCTGCCAACGGGTGCCAGAGCAATCAGCCCACTTCATGAGTTAAAAGAATGAAAAGACAGAGATGTTTAAAAATTCTTTCTCATATACAGCAGGAACACTTATTGGGAAATGGCTTTTCTTTGGTGGTGGCTTCTTGGCTGGATAAATGAGTGTTTTTATGGGCAGCAGAGTCAATATCCCAACACACAGAATAATCACCAGGCAAAGGGCAGCTCCACGCCCAACAAAGACTTTGGGCCGCATCAGGATGTGAGAAGGAAACAGCCAGGAGGAGGGGTTGTGGTCTGTGCAGGCAGCGACAGCAGCAGCGGCCAGCTGCCCCACTCACAACGCACCACAATCCCAGCAGAAACACGGAGCATACACAGGAGAGGAACACGCCCTGCCTCCTAGCAGATGGGGCCCAGACCACCAGGGGAGGGAGACGTCCAGGGCGGTGTCTGTGACTGATGGGCTCTCAGAAGTAGGGGCGTTTTCTTTACTTGATCTGCAAATCACTCACACAGAAACACAGACACACAAACAGACACACACACACACACACACACACACACACACACACACACACACACACACACACAGACTCACTCACTTCCATGTAGTAACAAACCAATCACACACTTGAGCCAGCATGTGAAGGTCTGTCTTCACCTGGGCAGGTGAGACATGCTACAGACAAGAAGGAAGGCTGTGCCAGCGGCGGGCCTGACCCCCTGGGCCGCGGGCCATACTTACTAGTGTCCAAAAGAGGTAAATAGTGAAGAGTGCGACAGTGAGTGCGATGAGCCCGACGGCCTCGAGCCGGCTACTAAAGTGCAGGTGGTCCACGGCGCCGCGCAGGCAGAGCCAGCCCGAGATGGTGGCCAGGGGCGTTATGAACAAGAAGCACACCATGTCTCCAAACAGAGTCCGCTTCTCATGCTGGGGGCCTGGGTTTCTGAGCCACTGCCGGGGACAGGGAGAGAGGAAGACAAGGACAAGGTTAACGGCCCGTGGGCGCTGCAGACACGCTCCTCTGAAGTGGTCTTTGTCTCCAGAACCTGGAAAAAGGCACTTCCGACCTGCTCTGAGATCACAGGAGACATTAAGGGCTCATGTCCGTGACCCGCCCCCTGAGTTATAGTGATTTATGATGATATACTATGACAATAGCGATGATGATAATGATGATGATGATAATAACGTGTCCTGGCTGTAGATGGCCTGCTGTTTTTGAAAACAGTTCAGTGGTTAGTATGAATCACAATGACTGTGTGGAAGGCAGAGAGGGTGTTACTTTTGAAGATAACAGGTGAGATGTAACAAGTGCTGTCATGTGGCCAAAGCCTTCTGGGGTCTGGGCCCTGGGAATGTGTGCAGGGAAGGCTTAACTCAGCAGGCCTGGCTTGCTCAAACCCTGCCCAGTCCCAAGAAAGACCTGTTTTCAGGGCTGGCTCCTCAGCCCTGGGTGATAAGGGTGTTTTGTATGCCTGAGACATTGGGCCACAGGGCACCAGTGTCACCAGATAGATTACACCAACAACGTGATGGATGCTAAAGGCCTATGTTTGCCCTGGGGGGCGAGTCTGAGCAGCTGAGGTTAGTAATGCAGGCCCTGTGTGCCTGTGTGACTGACCCCAATAAACACCGCAGACGCCAAGGCTCAGGTGAGCTCCCCTGGTTGATAACACGTTGTATGTGTTGTCACAATTTGTTGCTGAGAAATTAGGCACACCTATGTGACACTGCTGGGCGGGGACACCTGGGAGCTTGTGCCTGGTTTCTCCTAGACTTTGCCCCATGCACCTCTTCCCTCTGCGGATTTTAACGGGTCTCCTTTTGCTGTGATAAACCCTAAGCGTGAGTGTAAGAGCTTTTCTGAGTCCTGTGAATCCTTCTAGTGAATCACTGAGCCTGAGTGTGGTTTGGGGACCCTCAGACAGAGTGAGGCTCACCTGACTCCATGAACTCAGTAATGCCCCCTCCCTCATATTTTAGGACCCTGAACGTCAGCCTGTCCTTGACATTTTAACTCTACTGCCGTCTTGACTGACCCAACCCCCAAAAGGAAGGGAAAACTTGCTTGTTTAAGGACTGGAGTTGAGAACTCCTACAGGACAAGGGTGTTCTCCTCTCACTCGGGGGAACTGCTGAATGCCTGCTGAGATGTCTTCCCTAATCCATTCTAGGAATAGTCATGCTTACACATCGGTGTCGGTAGGTACTGGTAATGAGACCTGGTGGCTTCAGATTAGTATTGAAACATGTCTCCAAATAATATGACATTCCCATCTCACTAGCCCACGTCGTAATGACAGTGGCCACGGAGTCCAGAGACTGGAGTGGGGTCGAACACAGGGGATGGGATGGGGTGGGGGTGGGGAAGACACTGACTGACTGTCTTCCATCTCATCCTACCAGCAAATAAGGAGAACTCGCGGTGGCAGGGACTGACCCCCAAATGGGAGCAGACATCCCAGTGGCCAGGGCCGCAGTTCCCACAAAACCACTGGCGGGAGGGAAAGGACCATGACAGAGGAGACGAGTGGGTTGAGTGGGGCTGACTGGAGAGAGAGGAATGTCATGCTCAAGGGTGAAAGGAATAGACCAAAGAGTTGCAAAGAGGGCACTCGAGCTGAGGAAAGAGGAGTGTAAGGGCCAGCAGAAGATTCAAGGAGTGAGCAGAAGAGAAGGAAGCTGAAAAAGGCACAGAAGAACATTTTCTGGGAAGTGCCCTTCCTCGAATGTTTGCCTGAGGCAAATATTAAATGACCTGGAATGCCCAGCATAGCACTTTCCAGCGACAACCCGCCCTAAAAATGGGCTGAGATGCTGAAAGAATTCAGCCTCAGCTCAAAAATGAACATGAATAAATATTTAAAAATAGATAATGGCGAATTGACTTGTCTGTGAATATAAATATAGCATTATAAAAATTTAATATAAACACCAAAATGATCAAGTGCAAACGGCATTAACCCTGCCATGTGCTGTCACGCTACTTCATATGTCACAGCAGTTTCAAGTTCAAAGAACTTTCATTAATTAACTTTTTTTTGCTTAAACACGAGGAATATCATTATAAAATGGAGAGTAGAAATCAGGCATTATTATCCCAATTTTACCGAGGCTCAGCCAGGTGAACTGATTGTTCCAGATGATTCAGAGGTTGACCTGAGAAGAGGACCGGGATCGTTCCACTCTCATCAGTAAAATATTTGAAAATGTAAAATTGTAATACATTCAGAAATCTAGACAATTAACCATGGTGCCCAAATGGCAGCAGCCTGGCTCTCTGTGCAGTTTAGGTTTTCCCTAGAAGCAGATCTGAAAGCCTACTTTTCCTGTTGGAACATAGTAGGTTCTCAATAAACAGGTGACAGAAAAGCTGACCTCACTGGCTAAGACTTCCTCCAATTTCTTTGGCTTGGGAATTCTGAATACATGTTATTAAAACTAATTTATTACTTTACTTATCTATGTGGGCCTTGGCAACACCCAGTGAAATAACTCAGGTATGGAAGGAGGTAATTATGAATCACTACTTATCTCTGTTTGATGTAAAAGAAATTGGACAGGCAAACCAGAAATTACTATTGCTTGTTTCCAGTTTCCCGTTTTCTAATTATTTTTTGATCTTTTATATTCTTGAGAAGTTTCCAGGCCATTTTATATGTCCATGATCACCCAACTAAGGTTCCACACCTCATTAACACTACATGTATTTTTTGGCTTAGCTTACTTTCTGTTGTTTGTTGCTGGGTCATGTTTAGGTATGATGTTCTTGTTTTTCCCCCTTATGACTAAACTCCCACTTAAGTTTTAAAATTTTTTCAATTACAGCTGACATTCAATATTATTTTATATTAATTTCAGGTGCACAGCATAGTGGTTAGACATTTATATGACTTAAGAAGTGATGCCCCTGACTAGTCTAGTACCCACCTGGCACTATACATAGTTATTAGCATATTATTGACTATATCCCTTATGCTATGCCCTACATCTCCATAACTACTCTGTAACTACCAATTTGTACTTCTTAATCTCTTTCCCTTTTTTTTCACCCCTACCGTCAACCCCCTCCCATCTAGCAACCATCAAAATGTTTTCTGTATCTATCAGTTTGTTTATTTATTTTCTTATTTAAAGTCCACATATAAGCAAAATCACATTGCATCTGTCTTTCTCTGTCTAACACAACACTCAGCACAGATCCATACCCTCCAGGTCCATCCATGCTGCTGCAGACGGCAAGAACCCATTCCCTTTCCTGGCCAAAATATTCCATTGTATATATGCACCACCTCCTCTTTCTCCATTCTTCCATCGACAGACACCCAGGCTGCCTCCACATCTTGGCCATTGTGAACAATGCTGCAGAGAACATACGGATACATATGTCCCCTGAAGCAGTGTTTCGGGTTTCTTCGGATAAATACCCAGAAGTGGGATTACTGGCTCCTTCTTTTTTTTTTTTTTAATTTTTTATTTTATTGGAGAACAGTGTGTTTTTTTCAGGACCCATCAGCTCCAAGTCAAGTAGTTGTTTCATTCTAGTTTTGGAGGGCACAACTCAGTGGCCCATGTGGGGATCGAACCAGTAACCTTGGTGTTATGAGCACTGTGCTTTAACCAACTAAGCTAACCGGCCACCCCCTGGCTCCTTCTTTTTTAAAGTCTATTTTGTCTGGTATAAATATTGCTAACCCAACTTTTTTTGTTTTTGTTTATTTCCATTTTTATTAATTTTTTTTTCATCCCTTACTTTCCGTCTGTGCGTGTCTTTCAATCTGAAGTGAGTCTCTTGTAGACAGTGTACGTAAGGCTTTGTTTTCTTAACCATTCAGCCCTCCTGTGGCTTTTGATTGGAACATTTAATCCATTTACATTGAAAGTAATTGTTGATAGATATGTAGTTATTACCATTTTATTATTCATAATTTTAATTTTATTTTTCCATCTTATAGACGTCTCTCTAAGATTCCTTGTAATACTGGTTTGGTGGTGATGAACTCCTTTAGCTTTTTCTTGTCTGGGAAGTTCTTGATCTGTCTTTCGATTTTAAATGATAGCCTTGCGGGTAGAGTAGTCTTGGTTGTAGGTCCTTGCTTTTCATCACATTGAATATTTTGTGCCACTTCCTTCTGGCCTGCAAAGTTTCTGTTGAGAAATCAGCTGACAATCTTACGGGAGCTCCCTTATAAGTTACTAGTTGCCTTTCTCTCGTTGCTTTTATGAGTCTCTCTTTGTCTTTAACCTTTGCCATTCTAATTATAATGTGTCTTGGTGTGGGCCTGTTTGAATTCATCTTTTTTGGGACTCTGTGCTTTCTGGACTTCTATGTCTATTTCCTTCACCAGGTTAGGAAAGTTTTCAGTCATTATGTCTTTATATAGGTTCTCAATCCCTTGCTTTCTCTTTTCTCCTTCTGATATTCCTATGATAAAAATGTTGTTACGTTTGTTGTTGTCCCAGAGGTCCCTTAAACTATCCTCATTTTTAAAAAATTATTTTTCCTTTATGCTGTTCCGATTGGGTGTTTTCTGCTACCTTCCAAATCGCTGATTCGATCCTCTGCTTCTTTTATTCTGCTGGTGAGTCCTTCTACTGCATTCTTCATTTCAGTTATTGTATTCTTCACTCTGACTACTTTTTATGGTTTGTATGTCCTACTTTATGCTTACAACCTCTTTGTTGAAGTTCTCATTAAGTTCCTTGAGCATCCTTATAACCATTACTTTGAACCCTGTATTTGGTAGGTTGACTGTCTCCATTTCATTTAGTCCTTTTCTTGGAGTTTTCTCTTGTTCTTTGATTTGGGACGCATTTCTTTGTTTCCTCAGTTTGGCTGCCTCTCTGTGTTTGTTTCTATGTATTGAGTATATCTCCCAGTCTTGGCCAGGTGGCCTTATATAGTAGGTGGCCTGGCACAGTCTCCCTGATCACCTGTTCTGGGTGCTCCA